TTAACAAGGTTTAACAAAGTGAAACAAAGGCAATAACTCTAGCAGTAATTATTGTAAATAGCTGAAATTCAATAGACTTTTTCTTTTCACTAGTTTAAATCATGCATATAAATTTCACAAAGATCGGGTGATAACTTTGGCGTTAAAGCATTCACAAGGATCAATAAAGAGAAACAAGGGCCATAACTCTAGACGTAATAAACGGAAATTGCTGAAATTCAATAGGCTAAAAATTTCAGCCACTATCGGGTTCACAAGGCTTTCTGTACAGGGGCATAACTCTGGAACGGATGTCATGTAATGGTTTGGGGGTTGTGTAATGTTATCAATATTGACTTTATAATGTTGCAAAGTTTTGCCAGACAACTTTCATTATATAGTTTCAGATTTAAAAAGATAGGTTGCCAGGCAACAAAACATACGCCCACAGCAGCTAAATCGTCCGAGCGGTCAACAAGGGTTGTCGCATATATATTCCTTTGTAGGTAATTGTGGGTCTTTACAAGACAATTCCATACAGATCAGATTATAAATTTTGTCGTTTGAGGGTTTACAAGGTTCTACAAACTGAAACAAGGGTCTCAACTCTGGAAGTAATCTACAGATATTGTTGAAATTTGACAGGCTTTTTCGTTTTACTAATTTAAATAATGCATATAAATTTCATACAGATCACATGATCATTTTTGTCATTCAAACGTTCACAATCGCCATAACTCTAGAAATTATTGACGGAAATTGCTGAAATTCAATAGACCTGTTTAACAAATTTAAATGATGCAAATATATTTCATACATATCGGATGATAACTTTCATCAATCAAGCATTAACAAGGTTTAACAAAGTGAAACAAAGGCAATAACTCTAGCAGTAATTATTGTAAATAGCTGAAATTCAATAGACTTTTTCTTTTCACTAGTTTAAATCATGCATATAAATTTCACAAAGATCGGGTGATAACTTTGGCGTTAAAGCATTCACAAGGATCAATAAAGAGAAACAAGGGCCATAACTCTAGACGTAATAAACGGAAATTGCTGAAATTCAATAGGATTCTTCGTTTCAGTATTCTAAATAATGCATATAATTTTCAGAAAGATCGAATGATAACTTTTGATGTTTGAGCGTTCACAAGGATCAATAAAGTGAAACAAGGGACATAACCCGAGATGTAATAAACGGAAACAGCTGAAATTCAATAGGCTTCTTCGTTTCAGTCATCTAAATAATGCATATAAATTTCAGAAAGATCGCCCTAAGGGCAGCACATGTTTTATGTTGCTCTGTGTTTTTGCTAATTATTGTTGTGAACAAGGATTTGGATTTATGTGTTTTTTGGACTGGTGCTGTATCACGGTACAAGAAACAACTTTCGCGAAAAAAATTCAGAAAAAGATTAATTCATACGGTAGTTTTGGTAACTTTTATTATTCATATTCACTTTATTGTGAAATAAAATTCTTCATGGATCAAGATTTGCTACAGTGACATGATATACTCGTCAACACAACCATTGTTCTTGTCAAGTCAATTAAGACCGAGGGGATGTAGAGCTGGCAAGAATAAATAAAGATCAATTAAGACAGTCATTAGTGAAAGAGTTCCTATTGTCAAGACCAACCAAAGTGTTAATTTTGATAACTTAATTGATCTGACCCTAAGTGCTCCAACAAAGAAAGTGAAAAATGAGAAAAATTCTGAAAAGTTTAGTTTATGTATATTGAATACCAGGTCTGTCCGAAATAAAACTGATGCACTGAATGAATATGTTGTTGATAATGATGTGGATTTATTTATTGCAACTGAGTCGTGGATTCGCAATGAAGACACAGTTATCATCAACAAATTAGTTCCTACCAACTTTGACTCAATATTTGAAAATAGAAAACATTCTAAAGGAGGTGGAATTGCTTGTCTCTTCAAAAAGTCTGTAAAAGTTTCCCGAGTAAGTACAAAAAACATATTTTCAACTTTTGAAATACTACAATTAAACCTACTCCTTGCCAAGAATCATGTAAGAATAGTGTCAATATATCGGCCTCCTTCAACAAGTGTTGTGGATTTCCTGACAGAATTTACTGAACTACTCAATAATCTGAATACTGGACCTGGACATTTACTAATTCTTGGAGATTTCAATCTTCATGTTCATAAAGCCAATGATTCGAACATTAAGAAATTTTTACTATTGTTAGACGCATTTAGTTTAAAACAGCATGTGGATGTGCCAACCCATAGACATAATCATATTCTTGATCTCGTGATAACGAGAGAACATGATTCCATTATTCAAGCATGTGATGTTGTTGATCATCAGATATCTGATCACTACAGTTTATTCTGCCATCTTTCATTTCCTAAACCTGAACCAATAAAGAGGACAATAAGTTTCAGAAAAACAAAAAACATTTCTATTGATAAATTTAGAAGTGATATTAATAATTCATTACTTCTGAGTACCATTGCCACCAAGCCGGATACCCACCAACAAGTGGATGTTTATAATGACGTTCTTTCCAAAATACTGGAAAAACATGCTCCACTGAAAACAAAAGAAATCATTATTCGGCCTAATAAACAATGGTACACTGACGAAATACGTGATCATAAGGTTAAACGCAGGAAGGCCGAGAAAACATGGAGAAAACCCAATCTGGAAATTCACAGACAAATTTACAATAAGGCTCGAACTACCACTAATAATTTAATTGACTTGGCTAAACGATCCTTCACTAAGGACTGCCTGGTATCAAACAAGCATAATCCACGTGAAGTCTACAAAATTACAAACATTCTGCTAAAACCAAGAGAAGTAAAGGTTCTGCCATCGGTTCAAAATGATGCTAGCCTATCAGATCAATTTTCTGAATTTTTCTACGACAAAGTCTCTACCATTCGACAAGGACTCAGTGTAAATAAACCAACAAACATATTCAATGAGAAAAAGTTTGAAGGTTGCACGCTTGAGAGCTTTTGTCTAGCAACAGAAGACGAGATAAGAGAAACAATTCAGAGATCAGCCTCAAAATCATGTTCCCTCGATCCTCTGCCAACATGGATACTACTCTGCCAACACGTCTTTAGTAGGCGCAGAAGTTTGTGAAACGCTTAAAACAGCCCATGTGACACCCCTCATTAAAAAATCAACCATTGATCCTAATGTGCTAAAAAATTATCGACCTGTGTCGAATTTATCTTTCATTTCGAAAATTATAGAAAAAATTGTCCTTAATCGTTTTAAATATCATTTGTGTGAAAACAATCTCCAAGAAAAATTTCAATCAGCATACAAAAAACGGCACAGTACGGAATCCGCCTTACTTCGTGTTCACAATGATATCGTATGTAGCTTGGATCAGAAGAAACCAGTGTCGCTAGTTTTATTGGACTTGAGTGCGGCATTTGATACGATAGATGAATCAATCTTACTCGGGAGACTTGAAACTCGATATGGTATATCCGGAGATGCACTGAAGTGGTTTGAGTCCTATCTGAGTGGAAGACAGCAGAGTATTGTTATTGACGCATGTCAATCAATGCCTAAAGTCCTTGACTTTGGTGTTCCCCAGGGATCCGTATTGGGACCGATTTTGTTCACAGCATACACTGCACCAATTGGAGATATCATCCGTGAGATGGGTCTTAATTACCACCTCTATGCGGATGATACCCAGTTATATGTTGAACTTGATCCTTCACCAGATACCACTACATCAGAACTGGAAGCATGCATTGAACGAATTAGAATGTGGATGCACTGCAATTTTCTGAAATTGAACGATGACAAGACAGAAAATATAATAATCGGGAATGAAAAGAACATTGACATCAACCATGTGACTATTGGAAGCACAGCAATAACCCCATCCAACTGTGTCAGAAATCTTGGTGTGTTCTTTGACTCGTCCTTAGATATGAAAACCGATGTATCAAGACTGTGCAAAAAGGCGAACTTTCACCTGTATAACATTGGCAAAATTCGATCCTATATTGACCTTGATGCCACTAAAATGTTAATAAACGCTTTTGTTATGTCATCTTTAGATTATTGTACTTCATTATTGTATTCTCTTCCTAAAACTCTTGTAAGTCAGCTACAAAAAATCCAGAATAAAGCAGCTCGAATTGTAGCTCTCACGAAAGCATCTGATCATATTACACCTGTTCTAAAACAGTTACATTGGCTACCGGTTAATCAACGCATCATTTTCAAAATTAACACAATCACTTTCAACTGTTTAAACGATCCTTTGGCACCATCCTATTTATCCGATTTGATTAAACAATATGTACCTTCTCGTTCCTTACGTTCATCTCATAAAAACCAACTTGTATGCCCAGTACAGAAGTCAAAATTTGGTGAGAGAGCTTTTGCGTACGCAGCACCAAAAGAGTGGAACAAATTGCCTCTGGAAGTCCAAAATAGTCCAAACTTAGCTATGTTTAAACGAAGTTTAAAAACCCTGTTTTTTACCCAAACTCTTAAACAATAATTTAAATGCTTCACTTTCCATTTGTATATTGTAACTATTCCTTTGTATTCTTTTGTTTATTTGTATATACATGTATGCTTGTTTTTGTTTTTTATAATCATATCTACATTGTAAAGCGCCACAGAGCAGTCGGACTGACTGAATGTTCAGCGCTATAGAAAACGATTATTATTATTATTATTATTATGATAACTTTGGACGTTAGAGCGTTCACAAGGATCAATAAAGTGAAACAAGGGCCATAACTCTAGACGTAATAAACAGAAATTGGTGAAATTCAATAGGCTTCTTCGTTTCACTAATCTAAATAATGCATATAAATTTCACAAAGATTGGGTGATAACTTTTGGCGTTGGAGTGTTCACAAGATTCAATAAAGTGAAACAAGGGCCATAACTCTAGACGTAATAAACGGAAATTGCTGAAATTCAATAGGCTTCTTCGTTTCACTAATTTAAATCAAGCATATAAATTTCACAAGAAATTGTGGACGATGGCGGACGGACGGGAGCAACGGCAATATACGTCCACATTTCAATATGATTCTTTCTTTGACTTCGTTACTATACACAAACTAGGTCATTTTAGGACTAACATATTGTTCAAATTTATTTCAATAATTGGCTTGTATGTATAAGTTTTTAGCAGTGGGAGGAAACCGGATGACCTGGAGAAATCTCATGAGGTTGGACAGGCGCCCCCTACTCCTTGTCACATACAAGCGGGGAATCGAAAATATGACAAAATTTGTCATGTTCTATGCAATGCGTCTATGATAGAACGTGAGAGTTGCACTAATTTCAATATAAAAATAGTAAATATAAAAAATGATCAATGTATTAATTTTCTTTAAATCAACATTCTTGATATCAACTAGAATTTCATTTCATAGTGCACTTTTTATTAGTGTTCAAATTTCATTTATACTTATTAAATTTTACAATTTCACAATATTTATTTTATTTTTCTTAAAATTAAACAAGCAATATATAAGAAAACAATGGCACACTTTAATCATGCGTAGAATCCAAGCCTGCTAATAATTCTATGAATCATTCACATCACAATCTTTTTATAAAATGCTATTTAATTCCACCATACAACATTTGTTCATGATCAAAAATTTATTCAACAATCAACACATATGGCTTTAACAGACTTCAACAAAATACTAAAAAGATATAAATAATTCTCTGTTAAAACTATAACATGATTCAATCATATATATGATTATAGATGATTATCATGCACTCCGGCATTTATTAAGGTTCCAAATTTTTAGAATCTGTTAAAACAAATTATCACCATTTATTCTCCAGACAAATTTGGCTATGGTTAGCAAGAGAAGAATCAAGTTCAGTATCTCATGAAGACAATTTCGAGATAGTCCTACATTTCTTCTTTGAGTCAGCTGACTGATGCTCAGGTGAAACTGGGTGGTTGGACCACAGTCCAACTATGGCTAGATTATGCTCCTTTATTATTTCAGATTGATTTAACATTCCTTGTGTGTCACTAGTAACAGTGTCAAAAGCCATCTTCAATTTTGTCTAATATATGGAATTATCAATAAATAACCTGTACTAGAAATAAAATACTGTTTTTGCTATAACCAATATAATTAATCTGTAATACTGTAGGCCACACAGAAAAAAATATTCTGGTTCTCAGACAATCCTTTGTACAAAATTGATCAGGAGGGCGGTTTTTGTTTCTTTTGTTTTTATTTTGTCAAAATCTAGATCAGGCTAGTTTTTCATTTTTAAGAAACACACAAAATTATAAATTCTAAAATATTTATTTTACTCTTAAGAAAAAAACCAACAAAAAATAAGATTTTGAAATAAAGGCAGAATAATTCTGTGACTTCATCTAGATTAACTCTTGGGAAAATTTTCTCAAATCTGCCGGTTTTTGATTTGACGACATTACTGGTATCAATGCCGTACTTTGCTGGCAATTTAAATCAAAGTCTGCGTCCCCAATCTCCCCACTAGGAATAGTTATCAGTTATAGTTCTCGAGTTAAATAAACTTAGGCATTTTGACTGTAAAAATTGACAGCAAAATGTTGCCAATAACAATCGATTATCCAGTGTCGTTCGTGACTGTCAATAGTGTTTGCCATACTTGATAGCCGAGTCTAGTGTTCAGTTCCTCTTTTCAAGAAACACTTGATAGAGTTACTTCCCTTGATATTGGAAATAGATAACTTTATTATTTTTAAAATAAAAAAAAACATGTGACACGGCCCATTTTTGATGACGTGACGGTATCTGAGAACCATAATATTTTTTGTGCGGCCCTATTAAGTATTCCTAGAACATAATATATATAGTTTTTACTATAGTATAATATTAAAAGCTATCGTTTTAACTGATTTCTTTTTGCTCTGGCGGCTTTTATATAGTCGTTTATTCTTTCTTTTCTGGTAGCATTAATTTTGTCCCTATTTTCTTGAAGTTTTGACTTGCCATCTTCATACAGACTTCGTAAAGAATCCTCCTCAGGAACATTTATTTTGCCAGTTTTCTTAAAGTAACGGATGACTAAATTGGTACCACCCAGTGTAACAGTATATCTAACTGGTGTAGCTAGTTTATACATGAGGTAAGCCAAGGCAATATTTCCTAATCCACCAGCTTTAAATGGTTTCATAATGGTCTCACTGAATCCTAGTTGTTCTAACAAGGGGATGATATCAAAACCACTGCAAAAATAAATGATAAATGATTATAATATTTTAGAACTAGAAAATTTGTGATGTTATCTAAAAACAAAGGTTTGTCAAGCAACACATACATTTATATACCCAACAGCAGCATTTTGAAGTTTTTTTATTTAAAGTTTGATTTTTTGGAGTCAGGGCACTCTGGGGGGGGGGGGGGTGCTGGCCATAACTCTGTCAGTAATTATCGGAAATCAATAGACTTCTTCATCTCATGACCTTAAACACTGTGTATAAATTTAAAGTCAATTGGGTATTAACTTTAGTCTCTACAGCTTACCCTAAGCAGAAAATGCTCATCTTCGAACTCCATCGAAGCATTCACCTAATAAACACTTACACCAAGTTTGAACATTCTAGCTCAATTAGAAGGAGAGTTATTGTGATGGACAGACAGACGGACGGACAGACAGACCCATTTTAATAGTCTGCTGCTTTGTTCAAAAGGCGGTGGACAATTAAATTGAAGAGGTCAGTAGATACTAGGAATGTTCTTACACATTATCAGTTTTAAAATATAATTTTTTAGGAAGACACACTTACAGTTTCTTAATTTTGCCCCAATCCATTCATAAAATTTTGCTTATTGTAAGCACTTATCTCATTGTTAAGATTAAATCACCCCAGGACTCCAGGCATTAGTTCTCCTGGCAAACTCTAGTTTCATAATGGCTCCTCTCCCCATCTATTTTACAATGTAAGACACATTTGATACTTACTAAGCAGCAGCACTATAAAAACAACCAAACCAAACTGTTGATGTAGCTAAATGAACTCCTACTAAAACTTTACCATGTTCCTTATAAGCTCTTTTGAACCTCTGAAATATTGTCATGTTTTTCTCTGTGTTTAAGTTATCATTTTTGTCCTTATCACTAACATCATCTTTACTACTGGAATAATGCCTGGCCCGAATTTCACTAACATCATGTGTACTACTCGATGAATACCTGTATGTTAATCCAGGATAATAACAACAAGTGGATACTACTGGTAAACAACTTTTATTTCTAGTTTTACTTAGTTCGATTCTTGTTATTTTTTTAGAAGCTATATAGGTAAGGTTTCTGTTGTGGATTAAATGGAAGTTATCTGAAATATAAAAGTAAAAGTAGGCTGTAATTAATATAATTTTTCTGACCAGATTACAGTAGTACCAGAAACATGTCTTGCATACATGTACTTGTCTTTACACAATTTCTTCTTTGATCTTTTGTCAACAGGAACTGGTACCTGGTAGTCTTCTTTGCTTATTCTTCTTTAAGTGACGTCAATTTTAGTATGGTCGACATGAAACTTGGCATGTTTGTCCTTTGGGCAATTGCTTGATTGATGTACATTGATTATTGACATCAAAATTCTAAAATTGCAGTTTTAGCTTAGGTAGATCATATGACATTGTGAATCACGACAGTGAGTTTTAGGATTGGAAACTCGACATAGGGTCGAGAGTTTAGGTATTTTATCGAACACTGTCGATTGCCAAAATATAGGCTACCGTTGGCAGGAATATCAATGCCTCTTTAACAGTTGACAAGTTGACTTTACTTCTGTGTGTGTGGATGAATTAACTTTAATTATTTTTGAAACCAGATCAATAAGTGGACGAATTCAATTATTCATAATCATAAAAATTGACATAAAAATAGGGCTAGACAAGGGGTCAAAATATTTGGAATTCCATAGCTTTTTAGAAATATAAAGTAATTGAATAGATCTACTATATACACACTTTTAAAAGCAGCTCTGCATGTCTTTGGTAAATAAGTCAATTCACTGACTCTTTCTTTCAATGTGAATAGCCCAGAAAGTTGAGCTTGTCTAGTAATGACAGTTGCAAAGTTCATAGCTTTTGCCATGATTGACTAAATATTTTTATACCAATTACAAGAAAAAACTGATGTAATAGATAGTGGAACACAAAACGTCGACGTTAGTCGTAAATTGTCAACGTGACTTTCATCACATTTTAATTCACGTTCGCCATGCTGCACTGTCGTAAACTGGAGGACAATTACGACAAACAAATACTGATTCTAGGTGACAAGTACTCTTCAACGTTTCTTTTATTTTAAATTTAGTGAATTTTGTCTTTCTGTTTGGAAAAAGAGAACACGAATATATATATACATGTATATAATTTCGTCTCAGCGCCTCCCGGAAATAGAAAATAACGACAGCCATTAGCCTATATAGATTATTACTTCCTGTATAAACAAACCTTACAAAGCATGGATACTGGTAAAATACCTAATTTATCCAAATAAACCTAATAAATAGTACATTAATATGTCAAAAGTTAAAGGCAGTAAATAGAAGACTATCTTTTCATACAGACAATACAGTTTTGGTAAAAACAATGTCAGGAAGATAAGAAGTATTTTCAATGAACTTTGCCTATTTTTATTAAATGGTGGATTTTTTGGGATGTTCTATTCAGTGCTTCCCAACCTTTTGTTGGTTGCGACCCCATTTCGTAAACCATCATTTGATTACTATCTCTCGAAGAACATTATCATTATTTACACTTTTACTTAAAAAAATTGAGGAAAGACGATTGGCAATGTGGCAAGATTTGCATAGATCAAAGATTTATATGCGTTTCATAAAATTATCGAAGTGGATATTTAACCGTATACGGCAAAGTATCTTCTTCCGCTATTTTACCGTACATCGTTTCTGATTCAAAATGGCGGAAAGTACAGATATATTCCGCCATTTTGGTAACTGGTCTTTCAAGTTCGGCGCAGAAGCACAAATTTTACGGGAAAAACATAAACCACTGACAGTCTTAGTACTTAATTAAAAAGCTAAATCCGCAAAAATGCGCCCTCGACCAAAATAGAATAATATTCTAAATGCTTTTCTACAATTTACATTTATTATCTTATTTTCTTTTAAAAATAATTCTCCAGTTTCTACCATAGAAATTCAAGTATGGCTATTTCGTTCCTTTATAAGAAACGGAAAAAGAAGTAATGTTAGACAAAAAACAAATAGAAGTGTTGGGTTATGTTTGGGTTTGGGTTATGGGTTAATGTCAGACGTATCGTATCAGAGAACTGCACATGTTAAACGGAAGTGAACGGCAAAATAGTAAATAAAGTAAAGTGCTGTATACGGTTAAATATCCACTGCCTAAAATTATAGCATTTTTTAAAAAATCACAGAGCAGCCCACTATTCCCTCTTTTTTTAAAATAGAAATTTTGTAGACAGAGAGAAATGGGGTTTAAAGCCCACTCGACACAGACTAGATCATTTCGGGACTAACATGGTTTAATTTTATTTCAATGATTTGCTTGCGTGAGGGGTCTTTAGCAGTGGGAGGAAACCCACGAGGTTGGACAGCCAACCCCACTCCTTGCCACGTATAACCGGGAATTCGAAACCACGGCAGTTGACTCAATGACAGGTCTTATGACACAGCGCGCACGTGCTAACCATTCAGCCATCCACCCCCCTCAGAAATTTTATACACCTTGATTTTATACACCTTGATATGTACATTATGGCATTGTAAAGTGGTCGTATATTGCCCCTGTCCATCCATTTGTACATGCCTACTCGACTGTCCACAATTTCTTGTGAACGCTAGCACTAGGGTGTTAATAATTACTGCAGTATAGATGGGAAGGTTAATTTTGACTGTAGTGTAAAACTTTTCATAGTAGCTTAGATTGTAATATACAATAGGCATACCAAGCAGGTCACTTTCGGCACCCGATCACCTTCATTAAGGTTAATAAAACCGATTGCAGTAATTTACAAGTTACCTCATGATACTGTTAATCAATATAGTGTGTCTGCTATCATTACATATCTGTTTGGTCCAATTTAGCATGACTTCAGTGTACTGTCTCTTTTCAAGGCAAGTTATGGTTACTATTTCATGAAAAGCTGGTACTACGGCCATTTTCCACAAAGAGATTTTCTCATATATGCCATCTCTAGTTTATACATTTACAGAATATTCTGTTTGACTGACTGAGATCTGAGGTTTAATATGAGCTAATATACCAGAAAAACTCCCAAGTCGATTTTTCATTGGACATAACTACCTGATATGAATAAATTATTGATATATTGTCCATATTATACTTCCAGTAAACAATGACAATGGTGGTGCTACGGTGCTTGAGAATAATGGAAAAACCGATAATATAGATAACACAGAGCAAACAGATTCCACTGTTTCAGTGCAGGTGTGTAGTTACAGTGTATGATACTTTTGTAAATTATAGTGTGAATTGAACAATTTTTATTTAATTTTGTAACAGATATACAAATCCCAATCTCTTTATTAGAAATTCCAGATGGACTGGCAAAGACAACGTATAATCATTTGGATGGGACAAAAAAAACAAGGACCCGTGTACGCATTGGCAGGCATGTAAAAGAACCCTTAACAGTTGAAATTCAAAATAAGACTAAGAGTAGGCCATAGTGCTGCTGTCCGTGCAAAATATCCCCCTGAGCACACTGCATGGCATATGCCTGTCTTCAATAGCCTAGTAGTAGTAGGACATTAAACTCCATTTTTTTTATTGGAAATTCTATGATATTTATAAATACATGATAAAATGAAAACAATAAATATTTTGATTAGGATTTATTGTACCTACATATTTTATATATAATTATTTTGATAGTCTGGAAGTGTAGAGAAAGATTTAACAGGAACTGTAGCCAAACATTATAATGAATTACAAGAAGCTGGTAAAGAATCTCGGACATTCAGTAGAATATATCATTTACGTAACTTCAATAATTGGGTAAAGAGTGTCTTGATAGGTAGGTCATACTTTTCACAATATGTATTGTGCTTTTAGTGCCCGCATTAAAATGTATATAATTATGTGACCTGTGCTCGCAAAATGAGTTGGAATGTGCAATGTCTAATAATATTGATTTTGATCGAAATTGAGATTTTCACAAAAATGAGTCTATAACTATCTATCGACCAAAAAGTTCAAATTAGCAATAAAACATTTTAAGACACCTTTATTTGGACATTTTGTAATAGTACCGTATTCATAAATCTGTCTTTTTTCTTAAAATTCTTAGCGAAATTAGTTATTTTTCTACGCTCACAGTAGGACGACTGTTCAATCCTCTTACATAAGACTTGGTATCGTTATGAAGCTGTTGGAATTTGAAAGGAGGCTGCAGGACATACTCAAAAATAACTTGCTCCACAATATCCATTGGTTATGACGGTTTGCATAGTTATTCAGTGGCTTAAATTTGCCTTGAGAACTATTGCAAATTTTAAGCATGCGCTAAAACTGGCATGGAGATCAACTAATTTTCTATGTAGCATATTTCCTAATAAAGCCCTCAACAAAAATAAAACTACTATTATAAAATATTATTTAGACAGTTATTAAATCAATAACATGGCATAATGTGTCTGCTATCAAATTAAAAATGCATTATGTAAGATTTAGATAAAGAGCTGACAGTTTAAATATAATAGTTTAAAAATAGATAATGAATAAGAAATATATTGCCACTTCAATCAAATTACATTATTCTGAGCGAAGTTATAAATGTTGGAAGTTTTCATAAGAAAAGCCCTGTCTCGATTTCCATAGACAAAGTTTTGATTATCCATTTTTAAATATAATTATTAAATGATGGTCGTGTTTCACTCCATTAATAATTGTGACCATCCAACGTTCTAGAGAGTTGATTATGTACTGCTCATGTGATTAAATGTCTAATTTATAATTTAAATAACATTTGAGGCCTAAAGAAAGATAGGCAAATGTAGCTCTTACATAATGCCTCTTTAAAAGAAATTCACTTACATACTAGCCATTACCGTACCATGTAATTTGTGGATGGTTTCTGACTGGTCATGGCAAATTTATCTAATTTTGGTAAACAGTTTTTAACCGGCCTTAATTTGCTATCCGGTTTTGTAGAACCCTGTACACAGAATTGACATGTATATTTAGAACAAAGGCAATCTTTTTTTAAAACTTTAAAATCGTTTATATTTCATTGTATTATGTTTCTCAGATAACTACATAATTGCTTGATAAATTCCTTGAAATGTCTTGAAATTGTACATAACAGTATTCCATTATTCAAGGGACTATACTCCTAAGATTCTTTTGTTTTTCTTCTTTTCTACTACAACACCAGAAACAAATCATTTGTGCCTAAATCTAAAGATCTATTTTAAAAGGAATATCTTACAAAAAAATGTACACTTTATCCCAAAGGTTACCATTCCATCTGCTGCTGACAGTAAGTGTTCTGGGAGGAACATTTTGGTAGCAATGCAATACTATGAATATCAATGATGTAATGAACAGTGAGGAATATTAAAATACTGGTAACCCAAAAATAGTGCTATTGTAAACATACATATATTTAGTTTGCATTTAGAAACAGCTCTGAAACAAATCAAAAACTAGAACTGTGATGACATGTTTCACCAGCGCCCGCATCCTATAGGGGATTTCACTCTCCGTACTACTGATATGGTTTAACAGATTCTCGTACATGCTAAAAAAATGGGCGCGAAATAGCCATTTATCAATGCATATTGAAGTGTGAAAACCTTACAAAGTGGCTAATGATAACTCAGCCATCTCTTCTTGGCAATAGATAAAGTTGGAGTTTATTTTGTGATATCTGCCTGATTGTATATTTGCATACAATTCAACTATTTCTTAGCAAAGGACAAAGTTAAACATACATTATGCAAGAGCTAAATCTGCCTATTGCAGGTCTTTCTTTAAGCCTGAAACGTTATCTAAATTATTATTTAACTTGCTTTTTCTCAAAACTTACTTTCCTGACCTGGACATCTTCGGACGGACACAGCTCAGTCAACTTTTGCCTGATTTGAACCAAACATACTTCATTTTGAAGATATTGAAATGGAGAATGTGAAAATAACAATAACTAATTTTTCAAAATTTCCTCATTATGACTCATTTTGCCAACACGGGTCACATACATCATGTTATTTACGGTGGCCATTATAGTATAGATAATGATGAAGTTGTTTAATATATTATCATGTTATTTAAGTTGGTCATTTTAATAGATTATGAAAAAAATTTTTTTTATACGTGTATATTATGCAGAGGCGCCGGAGCGGTGCGAAGGCCAGAGTACCAAGAGATGGATGGGGGGTGGGGGTGTCTGTCCCCCCCGGTCTCTAGATAACTTTGAAATTTGTTCATTCCGAGAACGCTGTTTAGAGCGCCTCTAGCATTTCAAATTCCAACGTAAAACCCTTTAAAATACATGATAATGAAAGAGACAAAAGCCTGATTATTCACAATTTTTGTATCATGAACAATTCATCTCATAAACTCGATTAACCACTTATAGACATCTGGCCAAGGCATGCACTGATAGCTGATAATGAGAGCAATTACATATCTATCATTTAGAAATGAATAGACTAGTAAAAAGGTTGAAAACTTTCATCATTAGGGCATGGATATACATGTATACCCCAGAAAAGGACAAGGTACCATTTGTGATCATTTTACTAGGTTTACTTTATCGTGTTAATAAGATGATATTTAAAACAACTTCATCATTATCTATCAAGTAATGATGAAGTTGTTTATATATCAATTTATTTGAAGTTGTTTTTATTACAGGTGATACATTAGATAAGTTACGAGGTAATGATAGACATAAACACCTGACAGTATTAGATCTATGTTCAGGTAAAGGTGGAGATTTATTGAAATGGAGAAAAGGTGGCATAAATAAATTAGTTTGTGCAGGTTTGTTAAATATTGTTACTAAAATATCTTGTCTTATAGATACTAGAGTTACGCCACATCAATATGTTTTTAAATTTGTTGGAATCTAGATAAATACATTTAAACTTTAAAATTTGGAAATGAAAGCTTTTGAACAGCACAACCAAGTACCTTAGGTTTTTAGATAAATCTTTCCCCAAAGAAATAAGGACATTTTTTACAGGTGTTCCTGAAAAACGGAAAACAAAATTGGTGTGGCCTTACTCCTTTCTCCTACTCATAAATCCAATTCATTTGCATACCTCCTTACCTTTTAGGCCAGTCGAAAGAAAATGCATCTTTTTTGCTTATTGATACACAAGATTGAGCTTTCATTTATTTTTATATTCAGGCCCTCTCAAATAATTGTCAATGATACTGAATTTTTATTAGATATTGCGGCTACATCTGTAGAACAATCAGAGGGTAGGTATAATGAAATGGCTGAGAAGTCCAGATATGATAGACATTCTCCAAAAATATTTGAAGCAGAATTCATAGCAGCAGATTGTACAAAGGTAATATCAGTTGATTTCATTCAAAGATATGTGATAATAGTACCGTAATAAATGCACACTACCCTTCTACGTAGTATTATTTACCCAATGTGATTGAACTAGACTATAGTATATTTCAAAATCCCAGAAAAATAGAAATTTGGATGAAGTCAGAATAATACGCCTTAAATTCAACTCAATTAAAGTTACTTGATCAAATATAGTTTGTGTCTATGCCTTTGACAACCAGTTGTTATGCATTTTATTGTATAAGCTTCTGTCCATGAACAAAATAGTAAATGGAACGAAAAGGTACCACTGCCTTAGTGTCTATTATGCAATACTATACCGTTTATGTTGTTATTGTATTGTTATTTTGCTAACCTGGTCGTCCCGTGTTTGGTCATGTGTTTGATCCCTACATTGGCCGAGAAAGTTCATCGGGATTTTCTAGTGTGGTCCCCCCTTTCATTGGTGCAGGACAGATGACCTGGCAAGGGACAACGTATAGTCGTTGAGATGGGACGAAAAACTGAGATCCGTGTACACATTGCTCTGCGCGTAATAGTTCCCTTGGCAGTTTGAATTTGATATAAGAGTAGGCTTTAGCGCCGCTGTCCAGGGTAAATTTCCTTCAGTTCAGACAGTATGGTGTATACCTGTCTTCATTAGTCCAGTCGAAGCATACAGTAGGACTCTAAACCCTATTTTATTATAATTTATTGTTACTTTTTTACTGTACCATTTTTCAGGAGATTTTAAAAGAACGTTTCAAAGATCCATCAATGCTGTTTGATCTCACTTGTTGTCAGTTTTCCTTCCATTATTCATTTGAAAGTCAACCTCAAGCTGAAATGATGTTACGTAATGCTTGTGAATGTTTAAAACCAGGTGGATATTTTATTGGAACAACACCAAATTGTAATGAACTAGTGTAGGTTTTTGATATATATATTTTTTTAAAGATGCATTCCCTTGAAGTTAATTAGGTCCCCTTGTGTGATCTAAAATCTTTTTATTAACTAAATCCCAATTTTATTGACGGTCTGGAAATATGAAATTTTTGACTTAACCAATAAGTGATTAGTAAGCTCAGAATAAATAAAATAAGAAAGAAATTCTTTGTTAATTTTTATTACACTATCTAGTTTCGTCTAATGGACATTGTGACATATATTTACCTTATTTGAAATTTTTGTTTATGTACCATTTGTTAAATTGCAAAATACTGAATCACATTAATAAATGAGGAACATTTTTTGATGACAGTTATTTCCCCTCCATTTATTTTCAAATTTATGCAACCTTGTGAACACGTTCTCAATAAAGAAATTTAAATCTGGGTAGGATTGGGGTATATGGAAGAACCCTATCGGTTTCAATTTTTTCTGACCTTCATTTTTAAACATATTTAGTGGAGTTATCTTTGCATTTCGTCGGTGAAGTGTCAAAAGGGTGTATCTAAGAATTTCTAAAGATTAAGAAATAGAACCTTTTACATTTCAAAATTTCCACAAATCAAGATACAGCATTTGAACACATGATACCCAGAACAGTTCTGGCAGAGAGATACACAGCTTAGACAGAAATGTGCGTATTATTTGGAAGAGTTTAAAAATGCAAAAAAATGTGTGTTTGGCTAATTTCCCAAGATACTCCCTTTTGACACTTCACCGACGATTTGCATTTTTTAAAACCTTTTCATGATTTAAGATTTTCTGGTGGCAAGCATATTACTTAGGAAGCCTGACTGTGTTCTATGTTCAATTTCTACTTTTATAATTGAAATTTATATGAATTGATTAATAAATTATTTATCTCTCTCTTTCAGCAAAAGATTACGAAATAGTGCTGATAATAGTTTTGGTAATGATGTCTATAAAATAACATTCCCGAACACAGATAAGAGTACCTTCCCTTTATTCGGTGCCAAATATGATTTTCATTTGGAGGGTGTTGTAGACTGTCCAGAATTCTTAGTTTATTTTCCTTTATTAGAAAAGTAAGTACTCGTGTTATTGAAAATATCTGTTGATTACTGTATATGGTTTTCTATTCAGAATTATACTTTTAAATCTTAGTACATAACAGATCTTTTAAAATTTAATCAGTGGGAATTGTTGACATTGAGTTTGAATTTAACATGGTAGGTATAGGGTGCCTGACAAGTTCCTGTCTATATTTTCTAAGATGTTTTTATTTAATATTTTTAAACAGATTAGCAGAAAAGTATGGGATGAAATTAATAAAGAAGGTTCCATTTGATGAATTTTACACAGAGAAAATTGAAAGAGGTGATGCCAGAAATTTAATTGGCCGAATGAGTGCTTTAGAGGTTTGCATAAATCATTGTTTAACATTTATTTGAAATAAGTATCAAAAGACACTATTTTTTCTGTATTTTAAAACAAGTCGTGTTATATCAAACTGTCAATACGATTATAAAGATACATTCCCCTGCTGTTCGGTCTACTATTTACATAGTTATCATTTAGAGACGAAATCCAAAATATATTTTTGTTATTGAAAACAACATACCTTAAATGATTTATGATTGGAAATCATATTCTATTTCAAATGTCAAAATACAGCCATAATGAGTAATATGCCACCTTGTAATAGGTGGAGATTATTGTAACATAGACTAACATCAAACTGTTACCTCTAAGAGTCCTTTAATTACTTAGTTTTAGAAGTTGTGGGGTTACTGTAATTTTCCTGGTCATTTGAAATATCATATTATGTTTCAAGGTGCACTAAATGACCTAATTTTCCTCAATAAAACATGTCTTGACCTCGGGGGTCGGGGTGCCTGATTGGTCTGAGATGTGCGCATTAGATGATAAGGTCTGTCATTGAGTCAAGTGCCAGGAAGTAGGGTTGCCTGTCCAACCTAGTGGGTTTTCCTGATGAAATAAAATTGAACCATGTGTTAGTCCTAAAATAACCTAGCCCCCCCCCCCCTCTCTCTCTCTACCCAGTTGTTTATATTGTGTTTTAGCCCTATCCCAATGAAGAAGGTACTGATCTAGTAGGTACAGCAGAAGATGATTATATACATGCCAAAGAGTTTCTATCTTCTTTAGAATCACAAGATAACAGTAGTCATCATCATCATGGTAATAGGAAACCATTAAAAATTGTAAGTATGCAGTAACTATACTATAAAGAGGGTTACTCATGAAAATGCAATTTCCAAACTAGATAAATTCTCATATTATTGAAGATATTGTCAAATTATTTTGTACATGTAATCAATGTAAACAAAGTTATATTGTTTGTGAATCTGGATCAGTATTTAGTATTTGGTGAATGCTCCTCAAAAGAATAAATATGTGATGACCTTTACAAACTGCTTGGATTATTTAGCTGCTGTGGCCATATGTTTTGTTGCCTGGCAACCTGTCTTTTTGAATATTGTTGATTTTAATTTTAATAAAAAAATATATGTTGCATATATTACAGGGAACTTTATCTAAAGCTGAATGGGAAGCTACAAGTAAGTAACATGATTATCTTGCTTAGACCACACCAATTTCAATTTCTGTTCTTCAAGGTCAAAGATGTTTTGTATAAAATTTCAAACTTTTGAACAGCACCACCAAGTACTTTTGGTTTTTAAAAAAGTCTAAGAATTAAACTTTTTACATCAATTGATGTGGCGTTACCTTTGTAGTCTTATGTGCTTTGTAATTAGCTTTTCATTTCTAGATTTGTGTGCATTCTGTAAAATATATCATTTTTGTAGGAAAGCGGTCATTACAACTAATCAAGTGTTATTCAATATGTCTGTAGCTCTGTTTTGCCATTGTGATAGTATAACACCTAGATGTCTTTTTCGCACAATATAACAGAGCCAAATTATAGACAAGCTTCTAGATCAGAAGTGGTTATCAATGAGATCAGATTGAAATAATCGGATTGTAAACATGAAAAATTCAATATGTTAATATGGACTACATTTTGCAGTATTGAGCCTAGGCACACTATCAGTGAATACAATATTCAGGCAAGCATTCTCAACCCATATGCACTATGTTAGTCCCGAAATGACCTAGTTAGTGTCAGGTGGACGTTTCTCTCTCTTATAAATAGATAGTTAATATTAAACTTATTTAAATATAGAAAATAAACAACATTTCATCAAGTTATTCCATTAGTGATTTGCTGGCATGTGAGGAATTGAAACACCAAGACAATTACCAGAATTTATTGTGGAAAGCTGATTGGGCCTCTTTGTAGTATTTGTTTCATTTATTCCTGTCTGCAGATTTAAAGGATTGAACAGAAATTACATATTGTATGTTCTACTAAAAATAATAAATTTGCTTTGTTTCGTTTATTTTAGCTGTGTACTTAGTCTTCATTTTCCAGAAAGATGGTGGAGAAAAAGACATGTCAGAAACTGGCGAAAGCTCAAGCCGTAAACATGCCGCATCTGACAGATCACAGGAACCTGCAGAAAAATCATGCAAAACATCGCCATGATAAGAATCTTTGATATTGTATGTTACTGTGAAATATTCATATCAGTACAGATGCATTTCGTAAATTTTAATGTGTGTGTATGAAGATCAGCTAGTTCGGGAAAGATAAATTTATTTCAAAATTTTCAATTCTGAAGTAAAATGATTTGTATATGGGAGCTCTGAAACATACAATACATTAAAAGAGCATATCGTACTAATATACATGAAATATTTATGTATTATATGTAGAACGTCATTGATAATATTCCATTTATTGCATATTGCCTTATCATGATCATTATTATGTTAAAAATAGCAGTAATCATTAAAACCAATAATCATTTTTTTTAATTTTCTCATAAAAGATATGGTACTCTTAGGAGATGGTCAGATGTTTTGTGTTTCTTAAGCATGGTAATCCAATAATCTCATGACCTTGATATCTCCCAGGTTAACTTTTCATATTGATATTTAATGTCACCTGTCTTTATATATAACTACATGTAACATGATCTTATTGTTGTTTAACAGGAGAGAAATGTTTCATGTCGGTATATCGCATTGTCTTCTTGTATATTATCCTCCAATTAAACGCTTTCCTCATCGGTTATGGAAAGAACACATTAGTTAAATTCAATTCATTGCTTTAATTTGTCCTAAGTCGAAGAGGTTTAGCTCACCAAACCCTTGCCTTGTTATTGTGTATCTTCCTATGTATGTCAAGTTTTAAACTAAAGTTTTCCATTTAAACAAATATTGAATTACAGATGTTCGACTTGAGGGCAGAGCTCCCATAATCAAGTAGATATTTAAAGTAGATGTACCTTATTAATAATTGAAGACAATGAGGTCCTATCTATTCATCCATCCAATTTCTAGAAATAAAAATTACATGAAATTCTGAAAAACAGTTATTTTGATTTCCGTCTTATATGTGTATGTTAACGGTATGGTGCATTAACTGACCAGCTACTAATCGCTTTTCCACCCACTAGTCGCTTTTTATATGCCAACATTCTAAAGTAAATGATCTTGCACTAGCAGTCAATTTCATCGTCTTATCCACTTAAAATGTACATTCATTACTTGAACTAGTGATGAAGAAGCCTATATAATTTCAATTAATTATGATACCTGAGTTATTACTCTTACTACTGTAGAATCTTTTAAACACTTTTAACAGCAAAGGTAACCATAAGATCTACATAACATAACATCAAAATTTATATAGCTCAATAAATATTCGTTATTTTCGTTCCAAATGCACTTGCAAAGTCATGTATTTTTCAAATTGTTATGCCTTGATGACCTGGCGCCTGGTACGTTCGGGCATTTTTATGCGCGAACTCTTAGTTTTTTTTTACTGGCATGCGCACAGGTACTATTTCTTTTTCTTTTAACAAGTAACCAAATCGGGGATTTCGTGCGGAGGTAGTTCGGAGGTAAACAGTCTGTGAAGTACAACACTTGCCACTGTACCTGTGTATCGCTAATTATAAACCGAATGTGTTAAGACAGTTCATACATATCACTCAAAAATTTTTCAGTACAAACTCAGTTGATTCACCCTCGATTTGCTACTAAACAAACCCATCGGTTTATTTTCTCAACAGTGTGACCCGAAGTGACCGCGGATTTATTGACCTTGTATGAACTTATCCATAGCTATATCCTTACACCGAGAGAAATTATCTAGTCTCGGTGAAAAGAACCATGGTCATCTGGTAGAAAATTACTTTTGTATTTTTTGGAACGGAAAACAGTGTTTTTAGAAGCAAACTAACCTGCCGCACATGAGGAAGTCATTATACTAATAATAAAAGGCGAGACCTCTTTTTGCGGCGCAGGCTTATCACTGAGTAGTAAACCGTCCACAAACAATAATATAGGAAGCCTAGTGACGAGTGTAGTAAGTAGGCTATAGACTATAGGTTTGAGTCGAGATTACTCGCTTTCAGTTTACTCTGTTTTTGCGATAACGTCTACTGGATTAGATTTGTAAAATAAAGTAATCAATATACCACATGTAAATTAAACAGCATTGTAGTTCTGATAACTTTCTTGATAACTTTGCCTTTTGAATTACAAAGGTTTTCACTTTATGTTTAGTGATGTGGGTAGTATTACCGGTATTAAAATTTTGTTAACCTTTTCATTACAGTTGCTGTTGGCATATCTGCCTTTGTCTTGCAATGTATCATTTCCACAGGTTTCGAAATTAGAAACAGTCCTCAACATCAAAAAGAAAAGTATGTTCTAGTAGCAAGAATTCCAAAATTCTAAGGGATCTTTTAGGTGCATTGCCAATTTGTAGATTAAATCTCCCTATGATCAGTATATTCTAAAGCACTAGAGAATGTTTCTATGCACATCTCAGAAGAAAACTTCAATACATTCAGATTAATTTAATATTTTTATTTGCTGATTTTTAAGATACAAATAATGGGGAAAACAAACACAAAACAATAAATAAATAAATTTTAATTAGTATCACAGACATTTCATAAATAAATAGGTAAAGAAGGGCAGGAGATTCACTCCTAAAGTAAAAAATAAAATGGGAGAGAAAAAAAATATGAGGTTTTGATAGTAGAAGTTAGATACATATTTATATAAGTAACATGTAATCAGAATTTAAATTTAATTCATTTATAAACCTTTCATCTATTTCTCCAAAATAGAAATTAAATTGTTTAAAAAGTGTACCTTGTAATAAAATAAATCAATGAGAAAACCTATTGTTGAATTGGAATTATCAATAAGATTTTATTTTGGCCTACATCTGGAAACATCACTGGATTTTACTTTCCCTTTTAATAATTGGACCATTTCTGAAAAGACTTGGCCAGCTTCGCAGATGGTCCATAAATAAACAATTAGTATGCATACAAAGAAAATAACACAGTCACATTTCATTAATGTGTAATGGTTAAATACTATTGGCACTAAAAGTATTTTAACAATGCTTACTGTGAATATACCTACATTAATAAATTTACTGGAATTCATTGATTTATGAATAAAATGTCATGTAATAAATGCATTTGAAAAAAAAATTGAAAGAAACACAGGTTCAGGTTACATTCCTCTTCTGTAAATATGCCATACAGAACATAACATTTGTGTAATATCAAAAATTACAATATCAAGGCACTTTCCTTTCCTATGACACTAATTACCTAGTTATTTTAACAACTTAAATAGTTTGCTTCATCACTTGGCTAGACTTTGTTCCCTACTGGAGGATCTACATCTACTTACCTTAATTCATGAACAACTCATCTTGCATAATCTTGCTTTGATTATGTGTGTTGAACAGTACCTATCTAAATAAGTAATATAAAAGCCTTGTATTACAGGACATAAATGAAAACCGGTAGCTTAATACAAGGCAAGACTAGCTAGTCATAATGTACATTTTTCTTTATCATATCTACACACAGATTACTTAGTCACAGCCAACAAGTGATCATGCTCTGTCTAGATATAAGTAATTATAATAGTTTATAGTATACAGATATATAGCTAAATACATACAAAATTTTGTATTCTTTACTCGAATTCACACCAATTTAATAGTTACATATACTGCTACAAGATAACATAAAATTGTTTGAATTATATATTAATTGAGGTTGCATTAATTTCATGGCACATGTAATATACAGTTCAGTGTTATGTCAAGTTGGATCTATTTCTGCTACTGAAAAGGGCACACCCTATTTGAGTCAAGTCAAAAATAAAATTGTTCATTTAATTAGGTTGATTTTATAGGATGAGAATCTGTCGTTCTTCAAAATTTTACATCCACAGATAAAGGCAAAATGAGATTGAAATGAAATGGAGTTTTGTTCTGCTTCGACTAGGCTAATGAAGACGGCAAAATGAGATATAACTGACTGTGTTTTGTATAAACCAAGAAATCAATTAAAATTAGTAAATAAACCAACTTGTGCTTTATCTTTTTTAACAAACGTTTAATCATATAGACCTTGCCCCATCTGTTATTAGATCAACCCAATTCAATAATTTATTTTCCCAAAATCAAAGAGTTGAGATTCTTGAACATAATATCGAACATAGTAGAATATTCAGATAGATATTTAGTTAGATATGTTTGTATTATTTCATATCTATAGTTATACTATTCACTATTATGGTGATATACTGTCTAACATATAAAACAAACATGCAAATATATAAATTTGGGATACTGAAACTCAAAAGAGATGGACAGAAATTGACTTGTGGAGATATAAACATCTTATTGTAAAATAAGATAGGTTGCCAGGTAAGAAAACATTTGCCCACTGCAGCTAAGTTGTCCAAGCAGTCCTTTGTGAATCTTTAAGTAAGCAAAAAGAAAATTCTTTACAGTGTATGATATTGCTAGTCCATTGACAAGATTCTATGATATAATCAAGAGCAATAATCGTAACAATGCATGTGAATTTCCAGCAGAAGTGGTGATAATTTTTGTCATTAGAGCATTCACCACAGCATTCAACAAAATGATCATGGGCAATAACTCTGGAATTTATTTTCAGAAATCGCTAGACTTCTTTGTCACAACATACATAAATTTTAAATGTAGGCTATAAGAGTCTTTACAAGAATTGTGGACGACAGACAGACAAACATGATTCTATGAGTAAAATAGTGTACAATTAACGAGTAAACAATGTAGAAAGCATAAAAAATTTCAATATAATTAAATAAGTTTCTTTGATATATACAAGACAGATCAGTCAATTCTAGACTAAAACAATGCAATCCTAGCACACTGAAGTAGATTTGCAAATCACATTTAATAATATAATTATAAACACACAAAAAGTGTACATATAGTAATTGTAAAACTACAGACACACAAAAGTAAACAATACATGTACATAAAACATAAATAATAAAAGAATGAATAACAATTTTTGATTATGATAAATAACAAACATCCATGTAAGTTGTAATAATGATTCACCGATGGTATCCATTTTTGGCCACAAAATAGGTTTTCATTGTAATGATAACACAATGTGCATTGCTATAATAAATTAATTAACAACTACCAATAATTACTTTTATGCTCATGGACAATGATAGCAATGAGCTAGGTGTGCACTTATATGATATATGACAACCCTGAAATATATAATTATAGTACATAACTAATAACAATCTAAGCTCTCAAAAATGAGTATTAGATGCAAATCTAAATTAATATCAATTATATATTTAAATATTATGGCACTTATCTTAAATATATTTTATTATGATAATAAATATAAGGGGCTTATACAATGTGCTGAGAAATGTGAAAATTTTAATACAAAATTTGGTGTTAAATATGCATATTTAACTTTAATAAAGAGTGCAAATTCATTTAAGTTACCATAATTTTTTTATCTCAAGTTACACAGTATCATTGGCATGTTCTTAAACTGATGCTCAAGGTAATATAAAATAAATTTTAAAAAATTGTCAATATTTTTCTTTTAAGATATTGTTTTGTCCCAATCTAAATAATATGTTAAAAAAGCAATGTATTTACATTATTTCCAACTATAAAGGTAAACGAGGTGTTCTCGGAATGCCCGCAAACTTTGATGTCATATTTTACCACTTATCCAGAGGTAATCTGAGAACAATAGTGCTATAAACTACAGTCCATTTCTAACTTAAAGCAGAAAACTGCATTGATTGTAACAAATATAACATTAAATAATTTACACACAAAAAATGTGTTAGATATATAGGATAAAATACAATATCTGGTTGATATTATGTTCATATCTGATGGTAGTAAGAATATCATTATTGGTGTTTAGAGTTGCTGGACAATGGACATGTTTTTGTTGAACACTTCCAATGGATGGCATTAGGTCTGCTTGACTTTATTCGATATTTGTAGCCTTTGTGTAGTAAATTTTGGCTGCCTCGATGATTGGAGATGAAGCGAATTTGCCATTTTGAAAGAAAGATAATTTTGACAAGTCCATCCATTTCTATTAAAATGGTGAATTGAATTCATGTTTGAAGCCAAAGATGGCATAAACTGTGTTGAGAATGTGTTGATGAGCTTGATCCTTATTAATAAAGTTTAAAAGCTTTATTAAAGATACATTAGTTAAGAGTTTAATAAAGAGTTGGTCATTCTTGCTATAATAATTCAAAAATAGATGATACAAGAAGAAAATATTGAAAATTTCAGCCAAATTACTTCATTCTGAGCCAAATTATCACTGTTTATTGTTTTGACAAGATGTGTGCATAGTGGTACTAGCGCACTGGTATATTCGCGACTTAGCCTCGCTTTCCCATTTTTAAATTAAATTTTTAAATGGCGAATCTTTCTAATCTAGTTAAAATCGTGAGTATTCGATGCCATCGAGAGTTGATTATGGTCTTGTTTTGTTAATAAATGTGTAATTAATAGTTTAAATAACATTTCAGGCCTAAAGAAAGACCTGCAATAGGCAGATTTAGCTCTTGTATAATGTATGTTTAATAAGGATCAAGCTCATCAACACTGCACAGTGTCTCGCTATGCCCGAGTGACAAGTTTTAAACAGACAGAGTATAGATAAATGATTAATTAATGAATTAACAGTCTGCTGGCATTCCGGGAACAAACCGGGTAAACTTAACTCCCTCAATAGCCAATTACAGTCTTTTCATGGGTCTCATTTTAGTTTGATTGAATCCCAAGCCAGGGGATACCGTTGATATTCTGATTTTGTTTTCTTAGTAAAATGTTAAATAATCAATCTGAGTACATTTTAGAATGGATTATGCCATGAAAAATTAGATATTATGCCAAAAATGTGGTTTTAATAAGTTGAGTAACAGTCAGTTTTATGGCCGGTAGGCCAGATATGATTCAGTGCCATCATGGTTTCTTTGATAATCTAGTGCAAACAGTACTAGGTTAAATATTCCATCACAATATTAACATGCTCACTGGTATAAATAACTTTTGGCTTTATTCTGGTAATAAGAAAGATATTGGTACGATTTCACAATTTAGTTCATTATAATAATAACAATTATCCTTCAGTAACTTTTCCGCTAAAACAGAATGGAAGCTTCCATGATCTTGATCCACCATGAACACGCAATGCCATCCAATCCTCCATATTAGGTACATTATAGATATCAGATTCATCCTGTGTGTTTTCCATGTCCATACCCGCAACAGCTAATGATGAACCTTCTACATCTTGTACTGTATTAGCATTATCACACCCTACAATAATCAGATACAATATTCTGTTACAGAACTAGCATTATAATATGAATTATGAAGTACAATATTCTGTTACTGTACTAGCATTATAATACCCTATAATTATGAAATACAATATTCTATTTACGTACATGCATTATAACCTACAATTATCAATTACAAATTCTATTAATGTATTAGCTTTACATAAATTATCAAATACAACGTTCTATTACTGCACTAGTATTATAATACCCTACAATTATCAAATACAATATTCTGTTACTGTACTAGTATTATAATATACCCTACAATAATCAAACACACCAGTCTGTTACTGTACTAGTATTATAATACCCTATTATAATTAATTCAAATTTTACTTACTTAAATCATCAACTGAACATGGATCACGAAACCTGCTAACACCTCTTTTTCTAGGTTGTTTCTTGAGAATTATTATTATACCATTTAAATATTTAAATACAGGTAATTCTAGTATACTTTGTTTTACTTCTGGGTTACTTATATATTCTGACAGCCATGTCCGTAAATAAGTAAAGTCAGCATTCAGTTGTTGGGCACCAGTTACACTTAAAATAAAAAATAATTATAACAATAAGCACCTGACAAAATAATAAATGGTCAAAAACACAATGTCACAATCAACTCATCTAAGAGTATAAATGAAGGCAGTAAAAAAACAGTTATTAGAATTTGACATTTAGATTTCTATTTTCAGTTTCTAAATGGTATATGTTTAAGAAAATGTTTATCGTCCAATATTCATATCTGTTTTTAAAATATTGGAATGTTATTGTTAGGGGTGACAATAGAGTAACAAGATGTTGTCATGTAAGATATGACCCCATTTTGCAAGAGATAGAGAATGAGCTTAAAAGAAAATGTGATTTGATTAAGTCAAAATGATGAATATGATATTCAGATAAGTTGATATACAATAATTAATAGAATACAATATCAAAAAAACATTGTTTTATCCAAGTTTCGTCAGTAAAAATACTAACTTCTTCAGCGATGAAGAACTAAATACAAAATGACTGGAAGTCAGTTATAACATCATAGGAAGTTAAGACAGCATAGGAATGATGACGTCATGGACATGAAGGGTTAGCTTATAATAATAAAGAAAATTGCGCAATATTATGTATGATTTTGAAACCCCTGGATTTAACTCATTTAAATCGTTAGGCCAAACTGAATCAAGTCTATGAATCCACAGTCTTTCTGCTGTGTTCAATTTTTTTCTGATCTTTATCAGGAATTTACAAAATCATAACCAGGTATATTAAAATGGGGGGAATGTTTTTTTTTAGCTTTATATTACTCCTGTGCTTATTAAGCCGAGTGCTGATTGGAGTAATGGTTTGGCCTACAAACAACATAAGAAGAGTTTCCTGTTAAAATGACCTAAGTCAAGTCACTTTTTCCAACTTTGCAGGAGAACCGAAAAATGTGATCTTTTAAATTACTGTACCTATCAAACTAAAATGTTATTCTATGGTTAATACGTATAAAATATGTCAATATTAACCATGAGTGCGATAACATTGTATCAGACTGTAACTTTCTGGATTATGGCCTCTGGTTGTACGAAAAATCACGCTTTTAGCTTGTGGACCCTCTAGAAGTCATAATTTTTATCTGATTCTAAAAAACGTTTAAATTTATCACGGTCACACCCTAATGACGATCGAGTTCAAATTGTTTTAAATCAGACCGGAACTGCCTGACAAAATGGCTGCTCCTTGTATACAAATAATGTAAAAGTATGTAATACCAAGGTTGTGGACCCTCTAGAAGTAAAAAATTTTATCGGACGAGTGTTAAACATACCTGAATTTGATCTTCTCTTTTAATACAACAGTGGTCCAAGCTTCACAAATAGCTTTAGTTGCTAGAGATATAACTGATATTTGGGAAGGTAGTTTTAATTTACTTACTCCCTCTATTACAGGTTCTAATACAGATTCTAATACCTGTTCTACATATGGGTTTGCTTCCACAGGAAAATCTAAATAAATATATACAAATTTAATGCATTGAATAACAAATATTTTACTTGTTTTTTTAAAAGTCATTTTCAGTATTACTTCCTGAGAACTATAAGATAAAAAATGAAATAAAATGAAATGGGGTAACTTTTCTGCACCAACTGGGCTAAGGGAAATTTTGGACAGGCAGCGGCACTATGGCCTCCTCTTATTTTGAATTCCAACTGTCATTGGTTCTTTTACGTGCACGGCAATATGTACACAGAGTCTTGGTTTTTGTCCTATCCGAGTGACTAGACACTGTTCCTTGTCGGGACCTTCCGTCTTGCACCATTTACAATTGGAAACCATGCCAATATTAAAAGGAACCAAAATGTTTGGGATATAAATCTTCATTTCAAGTTTCGTCAAAATCAGATAAAACTTGTGACCTGTAGAGTGTCCACAAACAAAATGTGAATAAATGGACAGGGGCGATGACATAAATGTATTACACATAAAAATGTGGGCATATAAAAACATTTACAGCATTTCAACATTCTACAAGCATATTTGTCAATGGCTGCTTGTCATTTTTTGCACTGCTAGATGCCGCTGTATGTAGCAAAAGAATCACAAAGGTACAAAACATTCTATAAAAGCAATTTACAGATCAGAACCCCTAGTCTTTTCTTGTTATGAAAAGGGTAAAACATTAAAAGAGAATTTATTACCTGGCGTGGTTTTACGCTTCCAAGATTTTGCAGGTGGCATGGTCTCTTCAAATAAAGAATATGCTCTAGACTTTAATTTCTTTGAAAATGTTTTCATGGAAGCACCAGACAAACTCTGAAAATAAAAATATTAAAAAATTTGGAATCATAATTTAAAACATTAAAACACAGTCAAGCCTGTCAAGGTTGGTAAAGGCTTATGCCAAAGAAATGTTGATGGCTAAAATTAGTATCAAATTTTAGTTTGTAAATATAATAAGCATACAATGGAGGATACATGTATAAATTGATCCAGCCTGTGACCAATGCCACTAAAAATATTCCAGACAAATTTTCGAACTGTTGTATAAGAATATAAGATATCCATATCAGAGGTGCTTTCTTTATGCTCTTTCTAGAAGGGATAAATGGCTTCATAGTTCTCCATAATAATGTAGATAAAGACAGTAACTTAAAATCCTAACTGTTTCTAGTGGACAAGATGTTTCTGTCATTAATGTTTGAAAAATTGTTGTTATGTGTTGAAATTGTACAAAATGTTGACCTGTTGTCCTTAATGTAGGATTGCTTGATTTGCATGCATATTATCTCATGCACTAGTACATATAATAAGGATAATAAATCTGACCATTTTGATTTTATATTGTAAATTTACCTGTAATTGTGAATTGAGTTTATTTATAGAAAGATAAAAATAGTTGATTTGTTCAGCTGATATGTGATTACATAAAACATGTTGAGCTCCTAGTTGAGAATTTAATGTCTGTAGGAGAAAAGCTGCTTGTTTCGTTTCGTCAACCAGAATCTAAACATAAAAAATTATATCTAATTAACATATTTAATTAAGTTTGGTGTGCTGAATAATTCAACTTGAATTGCTTTGTGAGCTGGGTATTGTCTAAAATTTTGGTTCCACAGATTGAGTCAATGTTCAGATGTAACCAGTTTTGTGTTCCACTGTCAAAGTCAAAAATCAAACTAAAATTAGTTATCTTGCTTGAAATTTTAAAATGAAACTGAAATTAGCAAACAAACTTACATATACTTAAAGTTTTATTTGAATAACACTTCACATTAACCCAATTGTTCACCACTTTAAATGTATTTTGATCTAAATCACAGACTTTTAACTCCTTTAAAAAGGATAACAAAAAATAACATTCAAATGGATAAATAAAAATAATTCTCATGTTTATTGGGCAAAAGTAAATACATTTTTGGAAGTGAAAATAAAGAGGTAGGTGTTGACGTATAAGATCCTACATGTATTTGCAAAAAACACTGCAACTACTGTTTGCATTTGTTATACATCAATAAATCAATAACTACCCTGAGATCTGCTTGAACTATCAACAGTAATGGATTAACTGCCCAAGAAGCTAGAAACTGTTCTGTTTTACTAGTGCACCAAACATGTGTTGACTGACATGTCGATAGCAGACGACAAGATATCCCAGCAGCCAATTGTAAACCATGGTCCAACTCTAACTTAGGTAACATGTTATTATTATCTGTTTAAAAAAAAAAAGTAAAATAACAAGCATCAACTCAGAAATTAAAAAAAAATAAAATAAGATAAAATAATTCAGAAAATAAATCAGGGGAGTTAACTTTTATGAGTTGTCTCCCCTTAGACCACAGAATGAATAACATAAGGGCATTGCAATTATATTTAAAATTATTCAACAAGAATCTTTAAACATAAATTGTCTCCTGTTTTATCATGCAAAATTTACCAAAGGTACAAAAATTTGATTAAATTTCTAAACAAGAAAGGAAACGAATAACCCTGAATATACAGTGCTTTTTTATTTTCACAAAAATGCTGATCAGTAATATTATGATGCAACTTAATCTTCCTTTAGATTAAGATTTGTAAATGCTAAACATAACCATAAAAAGATCTTACCTAAATCTATCATTCCTAAATCTCTAAGCATGTCATGGAATAATATAAGTAGTGGTCTGTAGGAATCACGTAATAATCTGGCAGTGTTTGTACTATATTCTCCATTAGCTAATGGACATGGATAACATTTATCAACAGCTTGAGAGCTCACAGCACTACATAATGCTACAAAAGAGAAACTATTAGCATGTGTATAAAGACACAGAAAATATTGTACAATGACATAAGATCATATCTTCATGTATATATACCAAAGTTATAATCAATGGTCATTCACAAATTATATTTAGTTTAAAGATGCATTATATAAGAGCTATATCTGATTATGTAATATAAATTATTAATTAAGTATTTATTAAAATGACAAGTCCATAATCAACTCTCTAAACCATTAATGGCAGTGATAATGAATGGATTAGAACATATCTGCGGTTGCCAGGCAAGATATGCCCACATTTTGCAACAGATGGATAGAGAACAAGTTTTAAAAAAACCATGATTTTTCATAGAATCAGGGGCCATAATCCAAGAAGTTACGTTCCACTATGCGCAAATATTGAAAGGAACCAAGATTTTGGGATTATAAACATACATTTAAGTTTCATCAAAATCAGATAATAATTGTGACCTTTAAAGTGTCAACAACCTTGGTATTACATACTTTTACACTACATGTATTTGCGTACAAAGAGCGGCCATTTTGTCCGTCAGTTTCGGTCAGATTTTTACGAAATTCGAACTCAACCTTCATTGATGTGTAACGGTGATATATTTAAACGCTTTTTAAAACTGAATACAAATTCAAATTGTGACTTTTATGGGTCCACAAGCTAAAAATGTGATTTATTGAACAATCAGGGCCCATAATCCAGGAAGTTACATTCGGATATGTGCTATTATGGAAAGGAACCAAGATCTTTGTGATATAAACATAAATTTAAAGTTTCATCAAAATTGGATCAAAACTGTGGCCTCTAGAGGGTCCACAACTTTGATATACTATGTTTTTACACTATTTGCATTTGAGGGGGCGGTCATTTTGTCCGGCAGTTTTGGTCCGATTTTCACACTCAACTGTTATTAGGGTGTAACGGTGATATGTTCAAACATTGTTTTTTTTTTAAAAAATCGGACAAAAATTTTGACCTCTAAAAACCCGATTTTTTCGTACAATCAAGGGCCATAATTCAGAAAGTTACAATCTGATATGCATGAATATTGAAAAGAACCAAGATCTTTAGGTTATAAACATGAATTTCAAGTTTCATCAAAATTGGAGCAAAATCGTGACCACTTAGAGGGTCCACAACCTTGATATACCATATCTTAACACTATTTGCGTACGAGGGGAGGCCATTTTGTCTGAAGTTTTGGTCCGATTTTCACAAAATTCAAACTCAACCGTCATTAGGGTATAACGGTGATATAGTCAAATGGTTTTTAAATCGGATAATAATTGTGACCTCTAGAGGGACCACAAGCTAAAAACATGATTTTTCGTACAACCAGGGGGCATAATTCAGGAAGTTACAATCCGATATGCGCAAATATCGAAAAGAACTAAGATCTTTTGGTTATAAACATGCATTTCAAGTTTCATTAAAATTAGATGAAAATTGTGACCTCTAGAGTGTGCACAAGCTAAAAAAGTGATTTTTTGTACAATCAGTGACCAGAATCCACAAAGTTATGGTCCAATACATGGCATAATATGTTCACATGAAAATGGATATTTGAGCCATTGTTTATACATACCTGTATCCCAGGCTGAGTATGCAGATAAATTTGTTAATCTGTGGGCAACTTTTAACAATGGCTGAACAGATCCAACAGGAAATATATCTGAAAAGTGAACCAGATTAAAAATATCAATATAATGACAAACAATGTATTACACATCAAATAAATATCAAAATCAATTTGAACAAAACTTAAGACTTTTTTGCCGATCGTAATATTTGACATTTGAGATATCCATAAAATCACCAGCAAAATATCCTTTTAGTACCGTTAACAATATATCCAGTCATCTTGTTTCCACTGCAAAACTCAAAATATATCATTCTTAATTTCAATCTGGAGAAAATTGGTGGACAATATACTGGTTCAAGAAACTTGTAAGTGGAAACCTAATAGGACTGAACCCACTTGTTTTGTTCAGTGGAAACAAAATTTAAATTTTAGCTTTACATTATTTACTAATGACTTTCAGCATACCATCTATACTAGTACCCTGGTTTGACATATAAATATTGATAACATATTTCATGCTGTGTCAGCTGTGATGAAATTGATGGGTGCTCAAAATGTACATGTACAAATATTTTAAAGGGGGTGAGGGACTACTTTGAGAAGAGTGTGAACCAGATAAAGCATATTCCCAAAGCAATGTTTATCAACTCATTAACCATTGCCACATTAATATACATGTAGCAAAATATGGGCAACTGGTTTCATTGGTCTCTTTGCCATTAATGGTAGCAGAGAAATTGCAAGTTAAAAGCTACTTACATGCTTAGTGAAGCAATGGCTACTGACATTTCTGGTACTTATCAGGACATATGGAAAACTCAATGGAGATAAAGACTCGCAGATAGTTATAAAGAGAATATTTATCCCTGCATGCACCATGCATACGTCTTTATTGTGTGAGCCAAAACAAATTGCATATATTTGAATGACATACTGCAGCTGGATAGAACAATCTACATGTAAGCTTATGCTTCTGGCTTATCCAGATACAAAAATACAACCAAAAAACATTAAAATCACTGTTTCATTTACATTGTAAATACCAAGTCGACCTTTTTATATAGATATTGCATGTATATGTATGTTTAACAATTTTCTATTCAAACTTTTAGTTTACATCCTGCCATCTGTTGTTATTTTAAATCTTGTGTCTAAACTCAACATTGAGGGATTAATGTAGTGTTAAATAAAAGATACGGGCACCAAACATACATGAAAGAAATATCTATATTTATTGTATATTTAAAAGAGAAACATATGGTTAGTCTGTAAAGGGCATCAGGAACATCTCAGTCAAGATGAACACTGATTGTAGACGTGAAGTTTTTATGATGATATAAGATAGTGTATATTGAACCTATGATATTAGCTGTCTGTACACCTACACATTACATACATTATATACATCAAATTTTATACAGATGTATAGAATATGTTTCTGTACAGATTCATTCTGTCTTCTGATTCTGTACCTTGAGAAATACAGAGAAATGCCTAGAATTATGTCATGATCTCAAAATTTTGTCAGGATCTTGAGATCTTAGAATCTAGACTCGGATCTCAAGATTATTAATTTGAGAACTTGATAGAAATTATTTCAATTTGGATCCTAAAAAAAAATGTTCAGTTGAAAGGTGCATTATGTAAGAGCTAAATTTGCCCATTGCAAGTTTTTTATCTGGCTTTAATTCAAATGTTATTTAAATTATTTCGCTAAGAATAAAGTAATTTGACTGAAATTTTCAATACCCAGTACATTAATTTTTCTTCTATCTATTATAGCAAGATCGGCCAGCTCTTTTCAGATTAGCTATTTGTAGAAAGAAGAATGACTAATCTAAAAAGTTGTATCAGTGTAGATCTCGAAAAGATAGATTAACCTGAAATGACAAAGTACAGCACCCCCATCCCTAACACTACATGTCAAGCTGTAACATTACAGATGTCAAATTGTAACATTACTGATGTCAAACTGTAATATAACTGCCAAGCCACAACATTACAGATGTCAAGCTGTAATATATATAACTGCCAAGCTACAACATTACTGATGTCAAGCCATAACATTACTGATGTCAAGCTGTAAATTGTAACATTAAGTATATATCAAGCTGTAACATATAATTATAACTGCCTAGCCATAACCTTACTGATGTCAGGATGTAACATAACTGCCAAGTCACAATATTACTGATGTTAAATAGATGTGTCATCAAATGTGACTTGAATATGTCTAGAGTTTTTAATTCTTTGATGTCTAAGGGTAAAGAATTCCAGAGAAAAGGTGCTGCAAAGGGAAAAGGTTGTTTTGTCTGTTGGAGTTTGACAGCAGGAATAACTAAAAATGACTTGCTGTCAAGCTATTACATTATTAAGTTCAAGCTATAACATTACTGAGTTCAAGCTGTAACGTTCACATTACTGACTTCAAGCTGTAACATTACTGATGTCAAGGAATAATCTGATGTCAGATTGGGATCCTCGTAACCTCCCATAACTAGATGTACACCATGTACACCATGTCTGAATTAGTATATGTGTCTAGTTTGTAAAAGTTATCAATTAAAACTGATTTTGTCCAAATATACTGCAATAAAAAATTCCATGTAAACCTTTAATTTACATGTATAGAGAAATACAAATTACTTAATGTACATGATGATTGATTGGACTTAAACAGAGAGAGTTACAAATGAACCTAATCACTATGCCTGTCATTAACAATACAGAATTAGTTGTGTTAATTTGTACCTTGGTAAATGGCAAAATACATGTTCGATTATTGGAATACAGTAACATTATCAGACAATTTTTTATTGATATCTCAGTCTTCATTAGTTAGTAGATAATGTCATATGTATGTTCTCGTTATAAGATACAGTAATGAGGATGATTGAAAACTTGATATCCGGTTTCTCTAGTGATGGTACTTTTTTTTTACTTACATTCTGTCATTATTTTTACACGATCAGAGGATGTTAGTAACACAGAATAAAAAATATGTTATTAAGTAATATATCATCATGTTTAAATTATCATATGCTGAAGTACATGTACTAGCACTGTACCATAAGGTACTGATTTACTTACATGTAATATACATGTACTGCTGCTTTTATTAATTATTTACATGTATTCAATATCACTTATGACGTATATAATCATTAATGTACAGGGCTCTATATATCTTTTAAGTGATTCATGGAAGCAATGATCTAAAATATCTAACAATATTTGGTAATCTGATTGGGTTATTTATTTGTTTAATGATGAAATAATAAATGATATAATTATAATCAACCGACAGATGTACATAGGCAATAGCACTTTGAGGATTGATGATGATGATGAGTTATTTTACGTCCGCTTCCACCGAGGTGATATCGCAGAGGATTGATTTTTCAATACACTTTTATATTGGGGTTGTTCAAATCAGATTGTATGTAAAATTTGAGTCACACCTGCCAATCCATAGATGAGATACAGGTGCTTAAATTTGGAATACTGGTATATACAATGTAAGTAAAATACACATTTTTTAGTGATTTTCAAGGAGATTAACAGAGTGAGGCTTATGTTCTGTGCCACAAATCTCAAAATAAACAGATGACACACATAAGTTACTTTTACAATTATCTTTTTATAAAGTGAGAGAGAGAGGGAGGGAGAGAGAGTTTAACGTCCACTCGACACAAACAAGGTTATTTTGGGACTAACATATATGTATGGTTCAATTTTTATTTCAATAAATCGCTTGCGCATAGGGGTCTAGCAGTGGGAGGAAACCGGATTACCCAGAGAAAACCCACGAGGTTGGAAAGGCAACCCTACTCCTTGTCATGTACAACCGGGTAATCGAAACCCCGCCAGTTGACTCAATGACAGATCTTATGATACAGATCACATGTGCTAACTATTCGGCCACCCAACCCCCCCCTTTGTTTGTCACTCTGTATAACCTACATGTAGAAGCTAACTATGATCATTATGGAATTTAAGCAAGATACTGATGTAATGATACTATACACTAAGTTTTAATTAGTAGAAGAATTAGGGTGTTCAAAGCAGAAAACAGATATCATTGACATTTACAATATAAATGCATTGAACATCTACACCAGGTTTGGACATTCTTGGACTCAATTATTGTATTCAGATTGTTGCTTAACCTTGAGAAAATGCTAATCATCCAGTAGTTTATGTATGTATAGATTAAATATCTATATTAAACATACATTATGCAATAGCTAAATTTGCCTATTGCAGGTCTTTCTTTAGGCCTGAAATGTTATATAAACTATTAATTAGACATATATTAACATGAAAAGACCATAATCAACCCTCGATGCCATCTAGTTTGTCGGATTTTCACTGGATTTGAATCTGCTGCTCATCGCTCATTAAATCTGAAAATGGATAATCGAGACTGTGTTTTTTATTGCACCGACTTTAGATAGATGATCGAAGGCTAGGCCTAACATTCTATCGCTAATATCTTGGTTCAGAGTGGAGCAATTTGACTGAAATCTTCAGCATATTCCCTTTACATTGTCTATTTCGTAACTATTATGGTGAGAACTGCCAGCTCTTTATTTATCTAATCTTTCATAATGCCACTTTAAGGTATAATTTTGAATGGATTAATGATTTGTATACTTCATACTAGGAAACAGTAGACATAAATCTAAGAAGGGCAGCCACTGTCAATTACCTTTTAACAACACTGTATTCCTTCAGGAATGTGTATTAAGGAAAATGAACAGAAAATAAATGCCTGTGAATTATCATCACATCAAATACACTAACAGTATGAACACATCATTCTATCAAATAAGATGAAAGATAATTAGTTCCCCTTTAGACCTTCGACTTTCATCTTTATAATTTCATTTACAGCAATTACTACTAATTATAAAATAACATTATTTCTATAGTAAAATCTGGTACATGTATGTACATAGACTTACACTACATCTAATGTAAATCACTGCACATACAGTTATTCTGTAGAAAATCTTATGCTGTAAAATGTAATCATTTATATGTAAACTTGATATAATTTAATGAAAAATAACTAAGGGTGTTACTGTTTCAGTGTTTTGATATTTTTGCTAAGAGTATTCTGAAATATTTTTTTAAAAATTCAATCTTCTGCAGAGAAAGAGTGGCTGATGCAGAAATGCTGTCGTATGGTAAATATTTTCCATCAATTCCAAATGTTATCTATCCCTTTAACAGTGCTTTATTTTTAAAAAAAATATTGTGTAGAAATTGACTGAATATGGCTTGAAGATTGAAGGGTAAGTTTTATAAAGGGTATGACCAGACACGGACATTTCTATTTATGACGATATCAATTTAAGTGTGTACTGATATATATGGGAACCGATCAACATATGTAGGCTATATGTACGAAAATGCTATAGACGACCTACCTTTCATACAGGCGTGTTCCATCATATGACGTAAAACTGCTATCAATGTATCATTACATACTAATATACTTCCAAATTCACTCTTCAACATATTTTTATGGATTTCCCACGAGGGTTCATCCAGACAAAGATCTAGATTCTGGCCAAACCACATCCACATGATATCCATATATTTTGAAACAATTTGATTACGAACAGAACAGTCAGCATTGTCTCCCCATGAGACTGTTTTACGTCTGGAATCAGAGCGGGATAAAACAGGCATATCACCTTGAATTCTTGGAGGCCGTCCCACCACAGGACTAAAAGTTGCTTTACCATCTTTCCCGTCTTTGTGTCGCACTTTTTTAGTTGAGTCATTTTTCCTGAGTAAATTTGTCGAATTACAAACCACAAGCAAAAAGTTTTCTGTAAATTCCTGCTCCTTCCGAGAAAAATCCACCAACGGAGACATGTAGAGAGAAAGATCAGGAACTCTTAATGTTCCTATTTTCAAAATGGCAGCACTCAGACTTGTATTACTACCTGTAGCAGTGTGGTAATCTGATGTATCATGGAAAAGGATATCATTTTTAGAAACCTGATTTGAGTTTGTATTTCTATTTTCGTTATCTGTATTCCATGTAAAAACTGGAAGATTTCCCATTTGCAGTATTTTGATAAAATCATCGTTGGCCGTGAAAAACCTATGAGTAATACTCGCCGCGTAGCGTGAGCGTTCTTTTGCCAGAAGTGTGAGCACTTTGGAAAATGGAATGCCTTTTACTGAATGACTTAGGTTACAGGGAAAATTTGAAAATGAGGGATCAAGATGAAGGCATGACATATTGAATAAATATTTTGCTGGTAAGAGAGACTGAAGAATCGTAGATCCCTCTACAACAGTAACAGAGCGTAAACTCTGCGCAATAGTGTTAAACTCCTCTAAACCTCGTGTAACATTCCATAAAACTTCAGGAGTTAATTTTTCTACATCACAATGGGCAAAAACTTCAAAGCCAGTAACAATTAACTTATCTAACCACCAAATTGCCCGATCACATAAAGTCGTTAACATTCTTTTCACGTAATCAATCTCGAGAGAAAGGAAGCCAAGATTAATCTGTAGCCATTTGTTAGAATTCAGTTTCTGTTTTATTGTATTCCAATGGTTGACATGTATTCTAAGATCCTCGCATAAGGCATTGAGACAGTATAATTTACTCACAGGAGGCTCAGAAGCACATCCATGACGTATTGCGTAAGCTGTTCTATATTCACAATGCACTAATCCTTCTAATTCCTCCACATACGCAGCGGCCGCTCGTACTTTATGCATACAATCTCGCACAAACTCAATACGAGCACGATTTTCCATTAATTTACGTAGTTCAGCATAATGACGGCCTAATAATGGTGATCTTGGACAATGGACAAAATGGCCACCACCTGTGTCAGGTGATTTTCTTAAGGCATAACGACCAGGATTTACAACATGAAAAGCTTTACGCAGCTGTTTAATGCTTTCTTCTGCATCATTTGCATCAAAGAAAGTTTCAAGAGCGGATGAGTAGGACAGGTCACCATCTGCTTCATAACCATATATTTCCATGGGAATATCCGGTGGTTCATCCATGTCCACCGTTTGCATTTTACCAATAGCATGTATTGGAGGCAGACGCCTACGATGCGATCCCTTTCCACCATGACTGCCCTCTGGATCATACATCTCTCAGTTTTATACCTTTACGTCATTTTACTGAAAATAGAAGTTACAATAAATATCATAAATGAACAAAAAAGATATCAAAAAAAAAAAATTCCAGAAAAATTTCTGAATACATTTTATCAGTTTTATACCTTTACGTCATTTTACTGAAAATAGAAGTTACATGTACAATAAATATCATAAATGAACAAAAAAGATATCAAATAAAAAAATTCCATAAAAATTTCTGAATACATTTTATCAGCTTCCTGTTCTAAATAAGCTTCAATGTAAGTGAACTACATGGAACCTCCAAGGGTCATTATTGCCCTCAAGTAAAGTGGTCATTTCAACTTTTTATCTGGATCTCACTTAATGAATGACAAGATAAAAATTGTTGATGTTAAATTTCAGGAAATGGAACTGTCAATGGTGATTATTTACAGCACCACACAGTTTTATCATGATTTGTCTTAACGGTTTCACATACTATCTCTAGCATGTAATATTGACCGTCAAACAGGTATTCTGGTGATGTGTACACAAGTATCTAATTCTAATCACTATTCAAGCATGCAAAGCTAACAGTTTCTCCCTAATTTTAATGTATCGTCATGTATTATGTATTCACTGCCTATTTTTTAAAGAAATTATACACACATTCTAACATAAAATAGAGCAGTGACATAAAATAATTTTTTATTACATGCTAGGCCAAATGTTTGACAGAATTAGAATTACTTTGTCTTGGGTATAAATTCAGTTTTATAAGTCCTACAAATGCAAAGCAATAAATAGCTCATTTTACCAATCACCATAAAAGGAATGGAATGTGTATATGTATATATAAAAGGGGTTTATTATTAATGTTGTATTGATACAGAATTTATTCTATATTTTATTATCAATATAATCGAGGTTACTATTGACTGTATATTGACTAAAATTTACATGTACAACAGGATTCACTTACAAATCACAGGCTTGTTTACATAAGCAGAATACTGAACACAGGATATACCAGTAGTAAAATCATATTATATCGTAAAAGTCAAAGATTAAATATCTGGAATTGCTACTATCCCACTAAATTTTAAAAATCTATCTCGAAGCTCCATAGTGTATCGCATTGTGTTTATAAGTTTTAATTTTTGGACCGACAACAAAACAACAGATATGACAATATATCTCCAAATTAGATGTTGGTGTAAAATTCTTAAAACTGTCAAAAAATGAAAATGTTGCAACAAATGCAAGAAAGACACACTTTAATAAAATAATGCCTGTTTTTTATGAAAATACATAACATTATTTTCAGTGTTTCATTCTAAATTAAAAGTCAAGATTGGAGTCTTAATTAATCGAAGTTCTACACTGTTTCAGCTTTAAGAGACAGGCTTTAACTCTTTGATGTTGATTATATATTTATGTATACTTTAAATTGAAAACTTGTTATCTACAACAACACAGTACAGCTGTTACTTTGATGTGATCAGCTTTTAAACATCTAACAAGAATAAATATTTCCAAACAAATGTTTTTAAGTCCACCAGTTCCAATCAAGCAGTTTCCACACAAACCGTATAGTGACTTTTACAATGTCAAACAAAATATGCAGCATCTACTATCTTACATTAAGAAGCTTTTCAATATAGCCCATGGCAGATGTACTCCATTCTACCATGTAAACATTTTAACTGCCAACTTAGGTAGAGCATTTGGATGTTATTTGTGCAAATATTTGTTATCCCCCCCCTCCCCCTAAAAATATTATATTCTGATCTAAAAGATTGGTTGCCAGTCAAGTAATCATATATGATAAGCAGAAGTTTTATTGTCCAAGACTAATCAAATATCAGAATTAAATCCTGTTGTTGCAATTTAAACAACATAAATTTTTATACATTGAGCTGCTGAATATTCAATATGAATGCTAAAAGATACGTTATGTAAGATTTAGATAAGAGTTGGTCATTCCTGAGCTTGGTCATTCCTGAGCACTAAGCTATAATTACGAAAGCCCAGAAGGCTCATTCCAAATTCCAAATTCCAGATTCCAAATTTGCTGCTGTAGCAAAAAAAAAAAAAAAATGCCAGTCCTAGGATACCGAGTAGCAGAGTAGCTCACTGCAGAGGAACTTTGCCCCAAACTGTTCACATCTGCCGAAGCAAACCCAAACTGGAATATTGTTATTATACTCTAACTGATTGGGGGGGGGGGGGGGGAGGGGGGAGGGGGTTTGGATGGCCGAATGGTTAGCACGTGCGTGCTGTATCATGAGGTTGGTTTTCTCCGGGTCCTCCGGTTTCCTCCCACTGCTAAAGACCCCTACGTGCAAGCGAATTATTGAAATAGAATTAAAACCATATGTTAGTCCCGAAATGACCTAGTTAGTGTCGGGTGGACGTTAAACCCCGTTTCTCTCTCTCTAACTGATTAGTCAAAAGCAAAAACCTGATCCGATTGGTCTGATCAGATTTGGAATTTGGAATCTGGAATTTGGAATCTGGAATTTGGAATTTGGAATCTGGAATTTGGAATCTGGAATTTGGAATCTAGTAATTTGGAACGGGTATTTATCTGGAATTTGGAATTTGGAATTTGGAATGAGCCTTCTGGGCTTTCGTATATAATAGTTCAAAAATAGAAAATGAAAAATGAGTATATTCAAAATCTCAGTCAAATTACTTAATTCTGTGCAAAGGTTTGAGTTAGAAAATGTGACAAAAATTTACTTATTGTTTATTATTGTAGCAATAATAAGACTGAGTCTTGATTATTTATTTTATTGATAAACTCTTAAATGGCTGCAGTGTTCTAATCTACTTAAAATTGGAGCCATCCAATGGCCCAGAGAGTTGATCATGTTAATAAATGTTTAAATAATAATTTATATAACATTTGAAGCCAAAAAAAACCTGTGCAATTGGTAGATGTAGCTCCCATAAAATGCATCTTTAATCATAAATCTATCGAATAGTTGAAATTAGATATTTCTAATCTACATAGAGCGCCTGATAACTTTTGCAATAGAAGCTTTTAACAAGATTTTAGATGCCATCAAGAGCAATGTAGCGATCTTAACGCACTGGTGTTTAGTAGAACTGATTTGTTGTTATTGCCCTACAAATCTGCTACTGTACTGAAAACTCTTGGAAGCGGTGTCAAAATAAATTAGTAATTGTTCTTCCTAAATATGTGTGATAGTTTATTGCTCTATCCAGTTACTAAATGCATCTAAAGGATTATTATCAGATTTGTCTGGGTATGAATTCAACCATAACTATGAATATGATGTTAATCTCTAATTATTGCACATCTTTCATTAATACTGTAAACCTAGCTATCAGCACTTTTATCTTTGTTTAAAGATACATTAGTTAAAAGTTTAATAAAGAGTTGGTCATTCTTGCTATAATAATTCAATAATAGATAATGTAAAATGAAAATTTTGAAAATTTCATTAAATTTACTTCATTCTCAGCCAAGTTATCATTGTTTGTAGTTTTGACAAGATGTGTGCATGGTGGTAACCGTTTAAATCTAGTTATAATCTCGAGTATCCGATGCCATCGAGTGTTGATTATGGTCTTATCCTGTTAATTAATGTCTAATTAATAGTTTATATAACATTTCAGGCCTAAAGAAAGACCTGCAATAGGAAGATTTACCTCTTGCATAATGTACGTTTAAACTGACAGCTCATATATAGATTCTAATATAAATAATTAACACAGGCATCTAAATGACAATCAGTCTGCTAATTCTTCCCATGAATTTCCAATACATAAAAGATTCTAGATATAATATAATGTATCCAAACATACCAATTAGCTCACATAAAAGGTACCTACAAAGAACCAAATGTTTAAGAAATAAATGCATTCACAAAATTATTGATTCACATCCAAAAATTGAGAAATTCTTTAATGTCCATTATTACCAAGAGGAAGTAGCAAAGCCTGCCTCTAATGGGCTATAAAATGATGGAATACATACATTGCCAGAATCAAGTAGGACAACATATATCTAGTCTAAACCACATGTTATATGATCACCAACTGGTGCTAGAGTCAAGTAGCAGCATTATATCTTCAACAAGAGGCAGTTTAGAACTAATCACATGACAGATCTTTAATATCTCATGAATCATCCGTTCCTCTTGCTATTATTCTGATTTCATTATGCCTGATTATCCGACATTTTGGCACCAGTTCAATAGCCCACTTTTCGCTTGTTTATCTAACTTGACACCATGTTGTAATTATACTTAAATATTCTTCTTCTAAATGATATCTTCTTACTGGGGTATTCAAGGTAACTACCGGTAAATACCCCAATTAAATTCTTTTTATGCACATTTAGATTAGAATGGTGTTTCCAGTGCAGAAAAAGAGTAGCCTTAAACCTGGTCCACTGACATGATTTCCAAACATATAGTTGCATGGCAACGTATATATACTGCCCACAAGGGTTCGGTAAAAGGGGATATAGAGTTTCTTCTTATAAGATGGCCAATGATGTTGCCAAATGCCAACCACCCAAATTTTGGGAAGACAAGACATAAAAGTAGATAATTTGGCAGCAGCATACCAAAAGAATGACACCCACAACCATTCACATGTTTTTGCTATATAATATGATTTGCAAATTTAAAACGACACAAAATGGGATTTAAAGTCCTACTGTTCTGCACGAGCTGGTCTAATGAAGACGGGTGTATGCCATGCAATGTGCTATGAGGGAAATTTTGTCTAGACAACGGTGCTACAGCCTCCTCTTATTTCGATTTCCAACTGTTAAAGAGATCTTTTACATTCAGAATTACAAGAATAAAGTATATCTATGAAAGTGGTGCCTGTACTCGGTATATACATTGTATCTCATGTTACATATCCTTAAATATCATATTTTCCAACAAACATGGGTTGCCAGGAAACAAAACATACGACCACAACAGTTAAGTTGTCCGGGTAGTCAACAAGGGTTGTCGCATATTTTTTCTATTGTCAGTAATGAGAACATTTACAACACATGAAAATCTGATTAT